TAGAGCACATTTGTAAGTCCTTTGTGATGAACTGAGTTGTCTAATTTAAATTTTTCAATTTGCTCTTCACCACTAAAATAAGAGTGGGAATGTATGCAGCGTGGAGCCGGCTCGCCTGCTGGGGCGGCGTGTTGGCAGCCGGCGGCCCGGCGGAGCAGGCTCCGCGCACGGCTTACAAAGAGAGTCTCTGATGTGAGCGCCGCTCATTCTCTTAATTCTGAAAGGTCTTTCAAAGCCGCTGAGCGGTTAAGGTCATTTAATCTGACACAAATTTAAGGAACTTTGTGTTAAATAGAAGGTTTAGATCGATGACATTTCTGAGTTCATTTTTTGGAGACGTGGACTTCTGCTGCTCCCCGGAGGGAGGAGGCGGCCTCGGCTCCGTGGGGGTCTCGCCAGCAGCCCCCCTTCTGCGCGGTCCTGAACCGGCAGTGTGCGAAGGCCACACGGCCGGAACCTGAGGCTGATCTCCAGGGCCTCAGGCCCCGTGAGAAACCAGCGTCCTGTCCCAACCCACAGAGGAAGTGGCTCGATGGTCCCGCAGGCTTCTCCCGGCCAGCCCCCACACAGCGCAGCCCGCACACCCTCACCGCAGCCGCGGGCACTCCCAGAGGGCAGCCGGGGCCGGCCGACGGGGAGGCAGGGAGCGTGCGCTTCAGGGCACCACCTTCCTGGTAACTTGTCACAGAGCGATAGGAAGTATAAAGCCTGGAGCGGTTCATAAAAGCAAGCACAGGCATCAAAGAGAAGCTAATTTCACAATTTGGGCTGGGGCTGGGGAGAGGAGAAAGTGGGAATTGCGTTTCTCGGAAGGGGTCAGGCAGCGCAATCATGTGGAGCAGGAACGTAGGCGAGGTTCCGAGGACAGAGAAAGCTTCTGAGGAACCAGCGTGGGAAGAAAGTTGCGGAGGCAGGAAAACACAAAAGTTGCGGAGGCAGGAAAACACAAGAAGCACCTGAAGGGAGCCTCGCGGACCTGCAGAGCCATGATGCTGCAGGTGGAGGGCGGAAGCTAATCACGGACGGCAGCCAGGTCAGAATCACCCAGGGCCCGGCTCCTCCCCTCACAAAATGGACTCCGTGGTCCAGACAGGACAGACACCGGCACTTCGTGCTGAGGTCAAACTCCCGAGGGCCATTTGTTCCGTCTATTCGTGTTGGTTTTACAGAAAAACACAGCACTCGCACTTGGAAGACTTCTTCAGTTCAGTGCCAACGGGTCCTCCACATCCCGAGGACGGTGCTGGGCTCAGCACCCGGGGGTGCAGACGGCTCACTCGGGGACTCCGCACAGCCGTGGGGAGGAAACGGAAAAGCTGGTCAATCTACTCGCTCCGTGAGGTCTTTGCTAGAAAAGCAAAAATGCGGCAGAAGCCCAAGTCCGAGTCAGGGGGCCCACGGAGCTCTGAGAAGGCCGGGGCCCGAGGAAGGCTACTGGGAACGGCCAGGGCTGGGCCGAGGTGGGAGTCGCCAGTCCCAGAAGCTGGTCAGAACCCAGACTTTTAACGGTGACAAGTAAACAGCCTCATTTGTGAGGAGGAAGAGAAGAAGGGAGAAGACAGACTCATTACAGGCGCTTAAGAACAGTCTAGGGCAGGGGAGACGCTGGCCTGGTCACTCATCCGCAGCCAGCTTTGCCCACAGCAAAATGGCGGCAAGATGGCAAGATGGCCGCCGCGTACTCACTGTTCCTTTAGGACAGAAAACAAAGAAATTAACGAGCAGAGTTCATGGGAGTCATACATTCCATAGGCAAATCCATCCTCCACCAAACAGGGACTGGTGACAAAGAAAGGACTTTGGCTAAAAAATGAGTCAGACGTACGCCCTCCACCCATCCGGCCTTGGGCAGGAAGCGAGTCCGCAGTGGGGAGAAGGTGTGAAAACTCGCAGACGACCAGAGCTGGAATTCTACCTCCCACCATCACTGAGTAAAAGGACACAAAGAAGAAACAGGGCGGGATCGATGAAGAAGACGAAGCCTCTGTGGACAGGCGCGTCCCCAGGCTGCAGCCAGCGGCGGAGACAGGCCTGCACGGCCGAGCCCGGCCACCTGCCCAGCACCGGTTCCCGGCAGGGAGCTCACTGGTGGAGGGCACTGGACTAAGTCGGGAGTGAAGATGACCAAGGACGTCTGGACGAAGCAGTGGAGGGGCAGGGCCGCTGGTGTTGGGGCACGAACGGCGTTCAGGGAGTGTGTGAGCAGCAGGTGCCTGTCTCAGTCCCTCTGCAAGCAGTTGGATATAGAATCTCATTTTTTAAAAAAAGGATTTATTTTATTTATTTATGCATACAAGAGCTGAGGTGCGGGGGTGAGAGGACTCCCCAGAGACAGAGCTGGGAGCAGAACAGGCAGATTGACTGAAACCCACTGCTGAGGGGAGCAGCGGGGAGACAGGAGAGGTCTGTTGCGCCCTGTGGGTAGCTCCCTGGCCGGGGATGGGACTCGCTGCAGTGGCTGCGGACAGCTTCACAGTGCTGAGAGTTCCACCCCTTGCTCCTTCGTCTCCCTGGGAAAGGCTGCGCAGCTTCCATGCAGATGCCTCCTCGGGGTTCCTGCAGCCCCGGGACAGCCCTGCCCACCACTGAGCCTGGCCACGCCAAGCCTGTGTTCCCACGAGGGCCTCCAACCACAGGGGCCGGGTGGCAGGTCGGACTCTGCAAAGACGTGGGGTTCTCCAATGGATGGGGGGTTCTCCAATGGACGGGGGATTCTCCAAAGGACACGATGCCCAGACAGCCCCGCCCGGTCTCGCAGATGGTGTCCCTGGACACTTGCTGCCTGGAGCCCTCCCCGCCCTTGTCTCCTGCCCCACCCTCCGCTGCATAAGCTGGTGACTTCTGGGTAGTGACGTCCCAAACCCCAGTTCCTCACGGCGTAAGTGCATTTGGAGACGGGGTTTAAGAACAAGTTTCAGGCCACACAAGGTCAGGGGGTGGACGCCAACCCAGCTGTCCCGGGCCGCGTCAGAGGACATCAGGACAGAAGGCGTGGATCGAGGGAGGGCCACGTAGGACGTGCACAAGGTGGCCACTGGCAAGGCAGGGGCGAGGCCTCAAAGGAAGCCATTCTGCTCACACCGTGGAGTCGGGCCTCCCCGACTCCCCACTGCTGCGGCCACTGGGGGGGCCTTCCTATGGTGGCTGCGGGCGAACACCCAGACTCACCAGCACCGAGTCCTAAAGGCCCAAATACCTGTGGGTCCGTCCCCTCTTTTCCTTCCTGCAGTCCCCCCCGGGTCACTTGCACATCTCATCTCAGTGACCCCAAACTAACAGGCTTCCTAAAGTGAGAATCAAACCAAACACACCCGTTTTGTGCCCTATCACTGCCCCCCTATGCTGACACCCTAACCACCACCCCCCTGCACCACCACCCCGCAGTAACTGCAGTTAGGAGGTAACTAAGGCTGCAAGAGGACTAAGGGGTCCTATTCCACAGGCCCCGTCCTCACTGGACACAATGGTGGCCGTGCAGACAGCGGTCAGCTGCCAGGAGGGCCCTCCCGGAACCCCATGTGCTGGCCCTTGTGCAAGGATTTCTGGCACCAGAATGTCATACAATTAACTGAGACTTCTTAAGGCCCTGGCCTGTGGCCTCTGCTACGCAGGCAGGGCACCACATCCTGCACCGCCGCTCCAGCAGCCCCCGCAGGTGACAAAACCCCCTCGCGCTACACCCGGGGTCACCTGCCCACAGCACACCGCCTCGTCGCTGAAGAAGACACGCCACTGAGCTCCTCCAGGGTCTGCGGAGGCGCCAAGGAGGCTGCTCGGAAAGGGAATTCAGAGGACGGAGACCAAGGGCCTGGATTCTTCAAGCCTTACCTTTTAAAACTCACACTGCACATGGCGTTGTGCCAGTGATCACCCCTCATCAGCACAAGAACACAACCCCGTTTTCTTATAGGCTCAGTGTCACTCCGGAAGGAAACAGAGGTCCCTGTCAGGTCCAGGCTGCCCCAGGGCATTCAAAACTGGCTGTGACCCGCAGGGCTGAGGGGCTGAAGCGGGGCCTGGGCTTCTGGGCTCTGCCCCAAGAAGTGGCTCCCAAGTGGCTCCTCACCCCGCCTGGCTCCGGCTGTCAGAGCTCCCCAGACAGGCTGCCGGGTGCAGCGGAGGGGATTTCCTTCTCTGTGGCTCACGCGGCCAGACGGTGCCGAACCACTTGGCAGTTCCCTGTACCCGAGGGCTGTCACCCTCGAGAGGGAGGGAGGGAACGGGGCTTTCCACGGTCACAGCGACATTCCCGGAGAGGGAGCGGCGGGACCTGGCCCGTGGCAAGGACGGACATTTACGCCTCTGCCCCCTGAAAACTCTGGGTCCCAAGAGCAAGTGTGGGAACGTACCCCGGCGAGAACAGCAGCAGCCAGTGAAGAGGCAGGTGGGCACCGGGACCCCTGAGGGCTGTTGGCCCAGGCGCCCCAGCCCCTCACAGGCTGTCGCAGCCCTCGGGCGGGTCCCGCCTGCAGTGCTGACGCCCCGCTGGGAGGGCTGCACTGCTTTCCTGCCACAGAGCATGGGACAGGGGGGCGGAGGGAGAGCTGGGCTGCAGGCCCACGGGGTCCGTGAGCAGGGGACAGGTGCGGGAGAGGCTCCCGGCCACCCCGAGGACAGGCGGATGCTGACCCCCCATGCAGGGAGGGGGCTTCACCCCTGCACCTGCCTTGGGAGCCATGACAGAAAGCTGGCAGCACCGCCCTCGCCAAGGACACAGGGAGGCGGGAGGCACTCCACCACGATGGCCTGAACGATTTGCAAGGAAATCACCTGCTTCTCAGGCAGTTGAGTCTTTTAAAAAATATGGCACGACCTTCCTACGCTTGCATTCCTGTCTTTCCTGGGGGATTGGAGGCTCGAGGCTACACTCCCTGCAAGAGCATCTCCTGCCTGGCCCAGACAGGTGAAGCACGCCCCGCCTGTGTTCTCAACACGACTCCAGCTCCCCCCAAAGAGCACCGGGCGCACCTGACCAGGGCAGACCCGCAGCCCCCACGCACCTTCCTTGTCGTCGCGGCGCACGATGGCATCGCGGAGCAGGTCCGCCAGCTGGAAGCGCACCTTCTGGCTCCGGCCGCGCCCGGGCGCCCCCGGGGGCCGGGCCTGCTGCCGCAGCACCTTCTCCCGCGCGTAGTAGGCCTTCAGCTGCTCGCCTCGCATGCGCCGCACCAGCCGCTGCCGCTGGGCCAGGGGCAGGGACTCCAGCAGGCCCCGGTCGATCTCCATGTCATGGGAGCGGAACGCGCTGCATAGCTGGAGGCAACCTGGGGGGCACAAGGGCGAGTCACAGGCTTATCCCGCCCCCCGCAGCAGCACCAGAGCCCCCCGCGAGCCGGGCGCCCCGCGCCAGCCGCCCCCCACGGCCAGAGCGTGCACCGCAGGCCGGGGACAGCGCAGGGACAGGCAGGGTGGCCTCGTGGGCGCGTCTGCCTCTGTTCTCTGCGCCCCACCGAGGGCCTGGACTGCAGCGCTGTGTCCCCTCCTGCATCCAGCGGAAGATGCTGAGTACATGTTAACCCCACGTTTTGGCAAAAGCCACCCCAGGTCCTCCTGAGCGGGGCTGGCTGGGCCCTGGCGGGGTGAGGGCGTGGCAGCTCGTCCAGGCTGTCACGGGCCAGCAGGCGTGTCCACCCCACGCGTGGCCAGCGCCGCTCCGAGGGTTCTGTCTAAGGCCTCGCCACGGCTATGGACAAAGGCTGAGCAGGACTGGAGATGGCTCTTGAAACTCAAATCTCGGGCAGAATGGGCGCGGCTGCCGTCTCGGTCATTTAAGAGAGCGGCGACAGATTGAGTCCCCTAAACTGCAAGTCTGAGCTTCCCTTCCAGATGCTTCCCCCGGGTCTAGCACACCCAGGCCCCCTGGAAGGGAACTAGCAGGCTTGCATGTTCACCGCTAGGCTGAGAGTTTGCTGCTGGCAGAGAATTAATGTGGGAGCACAGAAGCTTCTGGAATCTCCCGTGCACAGATTCAGATAGGTGTGTCTCCGTTCTTCTGCTAAGACAGAGTGTCATGCACGAAAGTCCGGCAGATCCCGAGCTACCTCTGGAAAGATCAGGCCATGGGGTCTTCCACCTCACCCTTGAAAAGCCGCCCTCCCCTCTGGAAGGACAGCGGGTTGTGGCCATGCCGTGTCCACGTCTGTTTCGCACTGCAGAGGGCCAGTCTCAGCACCCACAGGCACGCCCATCCTCTCTGCGAGTAAGAGAACTAAACTGCAAGAGGCCCGGCTTGCCAGCGCCAGACAGATGACTGGGGAGGCCAGACGCCCCCAGGCTCACAGGAAGATGGAGACCCCCCAGGCCATGCGCGTGGCTCAGGATGGAGAACAGTCATCACACGCTTTCAGTTCCTCCATCACCCGAGTTACTCACTTGATAAAAAGCCCAAGTTTCAGCCCCAGATGTCCTATTTCCTACTTATGGCCGGGAGCAAAGTGTCAACATTTTCTAAGATTGGTTTTAATATAAACAAGGAGCCACTGTGCCACGTCTGCTGAGATGTTTACTGGCTGACCCGAGGAGACTGCCCATGAGTGGTCTTCGATGTCAACAGGCAGATCTGAGGGGTCTGTGCACCCCACTACTGCACACGTGGGTGAGGCCAAGAGGACCTGAGTGAGCACAGGGCATCCTGTCAGAAGCGCCAAAGTTCTCTGATGCTTCTTTTATGTTTTGGTTCCAGCGCACTAAGAAGGCTGCAGGTGATCTGTGAGGTGGGGCTCCCACTGCTGGGGACGCCCACGCCCCTGGTGATGGGGCTGGGTCAGCCCCCCAGGTTTGCACCCAGAGCCCCCTCTTCAGGAGCATTTCCAGGCTGCCTCATGGGTGTTTGCAGGTGTCCCGTGGGGATATTCTGACACTCCCCCCCACCTACTCCGAGTGAGTGTCCTTAAGAATCAGACGCAGGGCCTTCCTGGTGGCCTAGGGGTCGAGGCTCAGGCTATCACCGGGACAGCCTAACTTCGATCCCCGGCCAGGGAGTGACCCACAGGCCGCAGCAGACCTCTCCTTCTCCCCACCTGTTCTGCTCCCCACTCTGTCTCTGGTGAGTCCTCTCAGCCTAACCCCAGCGGTGACAGAAGCAAACGAAGGGCCCGCTGGCGGGTGCACGGCCAGCTCAGCCCATGCAGCAGGCAGCACCGAGCCTTCTCCAGGAGACAGGCCCTACCAGCTGCTGATGACAGGCCCTCGAGAACATGCTGCCCCATGCCACCAGCCAGTCACCAGCAAGCAGAGACACGAGTGAGTCCAGCAAGCACAGGTGGTGGCAGAGTCCCAGGAAGAGAGAGCAGCGTGGCGGCCGGGGTGGGGCGGGGGCTAGTGGTGCTCGGGAGGGCTGGTGCTGAGTGGGCTCAGAGAACCAGATTTAACAGTGACAAAGTTCTGGGGAGCCACCACCAGCCTGTGGCTGAAGGGGCTGTGGTGGTAGATTCTACCGTGTGCTCGTCACAAAAAGGCAGAAAATGAGAATATCAGCATTTGCACGAAAGGCGTGAAAACACACACACAGAGTACGAGCCCTTCGTGGAAAAGGCTGCTGTGGACTTGCCGTTCATCCCTGCAGAAATAGGCTTGCTGCAAATTTTAGGAAAACTAGGAGATGCTTGTCCAGGAAAAATATTAGGGTGCTGACACATGGGTGTTACACACACACACACACACACACACACACACACACGCACAGCAACTCTCCTACCAGGAATTTGATTCTCAGAATCAATTCTTAGTAACATGAATCCAGAGATATTTTTACTGCACATCCAATGACAGCGAAACAAAGGAACAGTGAGGGTTTTCAAAGACAAGAGTATAATCAATTTCAGCACACTCCCCCAGAGCCCTTACAATCCTCCCTGAGCACTGAAGTCTTTAAAAAGTGCTAGATCTTAACATCCTTGTAATCAAACTGCAGGCCCAGATCCCTCTTTGCAGAGCAAAAAATAGAACAAAGAAATTACATTTGGGCAAGAAATAGATGTTATGCACTAAAATATCTCAAGATGTAGGTCTACCACGCCTGCCTCATGGATCCTGCCACAAGACGCTTCTCTGGAGGATGGGAAGATAAACTGAAATAATGTCTATTCTCCAGAAAACCAACACTGTCCCTTCACCACTTTACCGTGATCTTCAAATGTTTAATATATGTCTCAGGAGACCAAGACTTGGACTTCTGTTCAACCACGGGTCCTGCTTTCTAATCGAGGCTGTGAAAAATGACTTTTCTCTGTCAATGGAAATGAAACAGGTGACATACAAGCGACTGTGCGCTCCACAGCGTCTCCGCTCCACCAGCCCATTGTGTATCTGCAGTTAACACGCCCTCGCAATGCTTATTTAGTAGTAAGTGGTTTGAGGCCCATTCACAGCTTCCCCGCGGCTGTAGACTTGACCTCCGTCCTTCTCCCAGGATTTGTGTCACGGTAACGCGAAAACAGGCTTGTCACCAGGAGCTCCTGGCCTTCTGGCGAGGTGGCCCCAGGAGTCGGATCAAGTCTGGGGTGGACGAGGGCGCCGAGCGGCAAGTCCTGGGCCAGCTGGAGGGGCGGGGTTGCCGAGGGATTGGTCGGCTCCTACGACACCGACACAACGAGTTGGGATGGTCCCAGGAGCCCTGTTCCTTCAATGAAGACTGGAGCACGAGGGGCTGAGAAGGTCAGGGATGTCCCCAAAGCTGACAACACTAGGACGCAGCCAAGACGCCCTCGGGCTGGCCCAGGTTTTCGCACCGTAACTGGCTGCGGGAGCAGGTGCCGCCTCCCGCCCCGTGGGTGACGTTCCTGACTGCAGCCCCCGGCAGCGGCCGCACCCCATGCTTTGCTGGGCACACCCGGCACTGATGGGCGGCACGTGCTCTCCGCCAGGCACAGGGGTGGGCGGAGGGGAGAGGCGGAGACTTGTCTCGAATCCTCCAAGAACAGAGCAGGTGAAGCGATGTGTGGCTTGTGCTGTGGAACGGGGACATCCCGTGTCCCAAAGCCACAGGCCCGGGAGGCCAGGCTGCCAGGGTAAAGGGTGAAGAACGAGACATGTGGGAAGCAATTCAGCCTGAGAACGGCTCCCCCCATTCGTGCGCTACCGACTTGACCTCCGTAGTCTTAGCACACGAGGCCCGGGACGCACGTACTTCATGGGCATCACATCTGCCCCCCGCCAGCCTCAAGGACCACCGTCCTCTTTCCTGCTGAGAGTCTGGAATGAAAGAGAGTCCACTGATTTCCAGGACACCATTCATCAGCTTGTATCTGTCTCTCCTGTCAGTCCTCATTTCCACATAATAAATAATTCAAGCCTCTCTGATCTCTCCTTATGCAGAAGACCCAGAAGCTTTTGTCTTTATCCGCCCCCACCCACCCCGCAATGGCTTCCCAGGAGCCCGAGACTCCTAGGACTTCTGGAACGGGACAGCCCAGGTGCGGGCTCCGACGCAGCACGGGCCCCCCAGAGCCACACTCCCGTCCACGCCGGCTCACCCTGCTTTAGAGTGGGGGGCAGCCCCAGCTCACATTTTCAGCCACAGCTATCTGAGGAGGTGGCATATTTATGGAACTGTCCGCAGTGACCTCCAGGCAGTTTTCTGAAGGCACAAGTTAACTTAAAACCCAATCGCGGGGCTCCCTGGTGGCATAGGGAGTTAAGCACCACGCTATGAAGCGGTCCGCAGCCTCTGCAGCACGGGTTCAAGCTCCCCACATGGCGCAGCAGACCTCGCCTGTCTCCCCGCTGCTCCCCTCAGCAGTGGATTTCAGTGGATCTGCCTGTTCTGCTCCCCACTCTGTCTCTGGGGAATCCTCTCACCCCTGCACCTTTGCCTGCACCCCAGCTCTTCTATGCATAATTAAAAAAAAATTAAAAAAATAAATAAAACCCCACCACGGAAGCCTCGCGTGCACGGCGTCTGCGCAGGGCCTGTCTCCTTCGGAAGGAAACCTTGATCCACTGTGGCCGGGGCAGACCCGGAGGGGGGGTCCGCTGGCCTCGCGGTCACTGCAAGGTGGCCGTGCAGGCTGCGTCCCAGCGTGGGTTTATTTATGACAATTGGCGAAAACCGAAGTTTCCTTTATGTCAAGTCTCCCAGTCTGCATTTGGCTGTCACTCGGGTGATCGCTGTCACGGTTACTGGAATTTTTAAACAACCGGAAGCTGGGGAAGGAAAAACGAGGCCCGCGCGGCCTGATGGCGGGGGGCGCGGGCAGAGCAGGGTTTGGATTTCCAAGAGGAGGCGGCAGCTCCGCTGAGCACAGACACCCAGCGTGTCCAGCGC